GCGGTTCAATACAGAGTAAAGCTCCTTTTTGTGCCTATCAACCTTTTAAAATTACACCATTTTGTTCATTTGGCAGCCGAGGGACGAAATGTTGTTAATTAGCTTCTTGGCCAATTCTAGAGCTGTTTGTGTCTGTAAATTTGTTTTCCGAGGTCGGTATTACTACACTATTTCTGTTTTCGCTTAGGCCTTGGTTTTATTGCTGTTGCCACTGATGTCAGGAGAACCCCTGGTTCTTTTTAACAATTCAACCTTGCAACTCATTGTCTGTCTTTGGATTTCATTGAGTTCCTGTGTCAATACACTTCAGAATCTCAGTCATGATGCTGTCAGAACTGACTGTGGCAAGTCTGTGTAAACAACAGAGGGAGAAGGAGAACATTTTTAAAATTCTCAGGAGCTCAGTGTCACAGTGTTCCAACACCAAGACTCTGGCTGTTGTCAGATGGCGCTCTCTCCCAGTTGTCTTGCACACTGCCTTCCTTAAGGCAAGTAATTATTTTTAAAGAGTACAGGAAAGATTTAAAAATAGTGTCAAGGATGAGGGACTTCTGATTTCAGGAGAGACAGGTGAAGCTGGTGCTCTTCTCTGTAGATCAAGAAGACCCAGAGGATGACAAGGATGCAGAGGTCCTTCAGCATGATCTCGACAAATTGGATGAGTGGGCGAATCAATGGCAGATGCAGTATAATTTGGATAAATATGAGGTTAGTCACTTTGGAAGCAAAAACAAGAAGGCAGATTACTACTTGAATGGCGAGAGGGGAGTGTGTAGTGGGGAGGTGATGGCTTAGAGGTATTATCGCTGGACTGTTAATCTAGAGACCCAGATAACATTCCGGGGACCCGGGTTTGAACCCCGCCATGGCAGATGGTGGAATTTGAATTCAATAAATATCTGGAATGAAGAATCTAATGATGACCGTGAATTCATTGTCAATTGTTGGGGGAAAACCCACCTGGTTCACTAATGTCCTTTAGGGAAGGAAATTGCCATCCTTACCTGGTCTGGTCTACATGTGACTCCAGACCCACAGTAATGTGGTTGACTCTTAACTGCCCTCTGGGCAATTAGGGATGGGCAATAAATGCTGCCTAGCCAAAAACGCCCTCAGCCCATGAATGAATGAATTAAAAAAAAAATAGTGGGACCTGGGTATCATTTGAGTACCAGTTGCTGAAGGTAAGCATGCAACAGGTGATAAAGTCGGCAAATGGTATGTTGGCCTTCATTGCAAAAGATTTCAAGTACAGGAGCCGGGATGTGTAGCTGCAGTTGTACAGAGCCTTGGTGAGACAGTTTTGTGTGCAGTTTTGGTCTTCTTTTCTGAGGAAGGATGCTCTTGCTCTCAAGGCAGTGCAGCAAAGGTTTACCAGGCTGATCCTGGGGATGGCGGGTCTAACATATGAGGAGAAATTGATGAGGTTGGGATTGTTTTTGCTAGAGTTCAAACGAATTGGGGGGTGGGGTTTTCATAGACACTTATAAAATTGTAATAGGACTGGACAAGGTAGATGCAGGGAGGATGCTCCCGATGGTGGGTGTGTTCAGAATTAGGGGTCACAGTATGAGGATTCAGGGAGGACGATTTAGGACGGGGATGAGGAGACATTTCTTCACCCAGAGTGGTGAGCCTGTGGAATTTATTATCACAGGAAGTAGTTGATGCTAAAACATTGAATGTATTCGAGAGAGAACTAGATATAGCACTTGGGCAAATGGGATCAAAGGCTATGGGGAGAAAATAGGATTAAGCTATTGAGTTGGACATTCAGCCATGATCGTGAAGAATGGCAGGGCAGGCTTGAAGGGCTGAATGGCCTCCTCCTGCTCCTATCTTTTATGTTTCTATTTATTTGATTGTGTTGGTCAAACTCATGGCAATTTGAAACAGACTGAATAAAAACTGTAGATAATAGTAAAAGGTTCAGGAATCAAAGGCACAGATTTAAAGGAATTGTCAAATAACCATACACAATATGTAGAAAAACATGCTATTTCCCACAGTGAGTAGTGATGATTTGGAATGCATAGCCTAAGTCAGAGAATAAAGGTTCAAAGATGGACTTTAAAAGAGAACAAGATAAATAGCAGATGTGTATGCTGAACAGGGTGATGTGGGCTGATTGGATTCCTCGTTTTGAAAAAGATTCACATTTGAGGTAAGGATGGTCTCTGTGCTGTACATATCTACAATTTGATGTTGTGCAACATGAAGCAAGAGAAGATGCAAAACAGAAATCTGTCACTTAGTTTCAGAGATTTGGATTTTAAGTGTTGTTGGCTGTGTCAGCTGGAGCTCTGAAAGGCTGGGGTACACAATGGTATAAAATTTCACAGTTGTCTGTTAGTTACTTCCTTACAATGTGTGGCACAGATTCCCATGAAATCAATCACCAATTCATTTCCATATGAGGTGCATGTGTGATAGGATGCTCCAAACATGTAACACAAAACACTGACCCTAACTATCAATTTTAAAGCCATGGGATGGAAGGAGACAACAGGGAAATAAACCTCCAACCCTGCTGGATTGTAATGTACCTTTGATAATGGGAAAATGCTGAGAAGAGATAGGATCGGCCCTGCATTCAACTCCCATTTAGAGTCATAGCGCTGTACAGCATGGAAACAGACCCTTTGGTCCAACTTGTCCGTGCCCACCAGATATCCTAAATAAATCTAGTCCCATTTGCCAACATTTGGCCCATATTCCTCTAAACTCTTCCTATTCATCCAGATGCCTTTTAAATGTTGTAATTGTATCAGCCTCCACCACTTCCTCTGCCTGCTCATTCCATACACACACCACCCTCTGTGTGAAAAAGTTGCCCCTTAGGTCCCTTTTAAATCTTTCCCCTCTCGCCTTAAACCTATTCCCTCTAGTTTTGGACTGCCCCACCTGGGTAAAAGACCTTGTCTATTTACCCTATCCATGCCCCTCATGATTTTATAAACCTCTAAAGGGTCACCACTCAGCCTCCGACACTTCAGGGAAAATAGCCCCAGCCTATACAGCCTTTCCCTGTAGCTCAAACATTCCAACCCTGGCAACATCCTTTGGTGGCATAATGGCTCAGTGGTTAGCACTGCTACCTCACAGCACCAGGGACCTGGGTTCAATTCCATCCTCGGGTGACTGTCTGTGTGGAGTTTGCACATTTTCCCTGTGTCTGGATGCTCCGGTTTCCTCCCAAAGTCCAAAGATGTGTAGGCTAGGTGGATTGGCTATGCTAAATTGCCCATAGTGTTCAGGGATGTGTAGATTAGGTGGGATGCTCTGAGTGTCAGTGTGGACTTTTTGGGCCAAAGGGCCTGTTTCCACACTGTAGGGATTCTATGATGATTTAAAAAATCTTTTCTGAACTCTATCAAGATTCACAACATCCTGCCTATAGCAGGGAGACCAGAACTGCACGCAGTATTTCAAAAGTGGCCTAACCTGTACAGGTACAGCTGCGACATCACCTCCCAACTCCTATACTTAATGCACTGACCAATAAAGGCAAGCATACCAAAAGCCTTCTTCGCTGTTCTATCTACCTGTGACTCCGCTTTCAAGGAACTACGAACCTGCACTCCAAAGTTTCTTTGTTCAGCAACACTCCCCAGGACCTTGGCATTAAGTGTATAAGTTGTGCCCTGATTGGCCTTTTCAAATGGAGAACCTCACATTTATCAAAATTAAACTCCATCTATCACTCCTCGGTCCATTGGCCCATCTAATCAAGATCCCGTTGTACTCTGAGCTAACCTTCTTTGCTCTCCAATACAGCTCCAATTTTGGTGTTATCTGCAAACTTACTAACCATTCCTCCAATGTTCACATCCAAATCATTTATATAAATGACAAAAAACAGTGGACCCAGCACCGATCCTCGTGATGACACACCACTGGTCACAGACCTCCAGTCTGAAAAACAACCCTTCACCACCACCCTCTGTCTTCTACCTTCGAGCCAGTTCTGTATCTAAATGGCTAGTTTTCTCTGTATTCTATGTGATCTAACCATGCTAACCAGTCTACTATAAGGAACCTTGTTGAACACCTTACTGTAGTCTATACAGATCATGTCCACTGCTCTGCCCTCATCAATCCTCTTCATTACTTCTCCAAAAAACTCAATCTGGTTAGTGAGACATGACTTTCCTCACATAAAGCCATATTGACTATCTCTAATCAGTCCTTGGCTTTCCAAATAGAAATAAATTCTGTCCCTCAGGATTTCCTCCAACAACTTGCCCACCACTGATGCCAGGCTCACTGGTCTATAGTTCTCTGGCTTTTCCTTACTACCTTTCTTAAAGAGTGGCACCATGTTAGCCAATCTCCATTGTTCTGGCATCTCACCTGTGGCTATTGATGATACAAATATCTCAGCAAAGGGCCCAGCAATCACTTCCCTAGCTTCCCATAGAGCTCTAGGGTACACCTGATCAGGTCCTGGGGATTTATCCATCATTATGCGTTTTATGATGTCCAGCACCTCCTCCTCTGTAATATGGCCATTTTTCAAGATGTTGCTATTTACTTCCCTACATTCTCTATCTTCCATATCCTTCTCCACGCTGATGCAAAATACTTGTTTAGTATCTCCCCCCATTTCCTGCAGTTCCTCACCAAGGTGGCCTTGCTGATACTTAAGGGGCCCTATTCTATCCCTTGTTACTTTTTTGTTCTTAATATAATTTTAGAATCCCTTTGGATTCTCCTTAATCCTATTTGCTAAAGCTACCTCATGTCCCTTTTTGCCCTCCTGATTTCCCTCTTAAGTATACTCCTACTGCCTTGATACTCTTCCACGGGTTCACTCAATCTCTACTGTCATCCAGCCAGGCCAGGCTCAGTGTCACTAAACACTTTCATCAGGGCTGATTTTAAAATTTAGATTGTTTTAAAATTTGAAAACTGGAAGAATAAGACAACAAAACTACTAACTGATGAGCAGAAAGGTACCAAACTGATTTCAGAGTAATGGAAGCTTTTATGTAAAATACCTTGACAAATTTAAATCCAGTGTTACATCTGATCTGGACCTGATCTTTGAATGAATATTGCTCCTGGACAGGTTCAATTGTACCATTGGCAGGAGGATGTACAACAGGACATGGATTGCCTACAAAAACACAAAGAAACATTTATATATAATCAAATACACTTTTTATCATTTCTGATATGGAGAATTATTCTTAAACATCACAGAGTAAGAATCTTTTACGTAAGAACATAAGAAATATGAATAGGAGTAAACCATTCAATCCACTAGTCTGTTCTTCCAGTCTATATGATCATGGCTGATTTTGGGTTTCAACTCCCCTTTCCCACCTGCTCCCCATATCCCTCAATGTCCTGAGAGACAAACAATAAATATATGCAATGACAGAGCATCCCCAGCCCTAGGGGTAGAGAAATCCAAAGATTCACAATCCTTTTAGTGAAAGGGTCATCCTCAATTCAGTCCTAAATGATCGTTCCCTTATCTTAAGACTGAGACCCTGTGTTCTAGATGCCCCAACCTGTGGAAACAACTTTTCAATGCCTGGTGAATCTCTTCTCCATCCTCTCCAGTGAAAACATATCCTTCCTATAATGCGGCAACCAGAATAAATTAATCTAAATGCTGAGAGATTGCAGAGCTCTCAGATGCAGAGGGTGTCTGGTGCATGAATCAAAAAAGGTGAATATGCAGTTTCAGCAAATAATTAGGAAAGATAATCAAATGTTATCATTTATTGTGGGAGGAATTGAATACAAAAGTAGGGAGGTTATGCTTTAGTTAGGACACTGGTGAGACCGCATCTGGAGTACTGTAAACAATATTGGGCAATTTATTTAAGAAGAATATAAATTTGTTGGAAGATGTTTTGGAAGGTTTACCAGACTAATATCTGGAATGAACAGGGTGTCTTAAGAGGAAAGATTGGACAGGCTAGGCTTAGCTATGCTTAAGTTTTGAAGAGTAAGAGGCGACTTGATTGAAACGTTTAAGATTCTGAGGGGTCTTGACAGGGTAGATGTGGAAAGGATGTTTCCTCATGTGAGTGAATCTAGAACTAGAACCACTGTTTAAAGATAATGAATCACCTATCTAAGAAAGAGATAAAATATTTTCTCATGAGACTTTGATAACCCTTCATCCCCATGGTTCCCTGAGAATCTATCTATCCCTGCCTTAAAAATATCCAATGACTGTGGTTTCAGCAGCCTTCGAGGAAAAGAGTTCAGAGTTATGTAGAAATGTGAGTAATCAGATCAGCCACAATCTTACTGAATCGGGGTTTAAGGAGGAGGGGTTGACCGGTCTACTACTGCTCTCAACCTATATGTTCTGTTGCTAAGATGGAGATTTCCCACTTCTTCATGGGCAATATGCACATTTTCCCATGTTTCATGGTCCAAAACACATCATCTATCCCGTCACAATTTTTAAGTAAGTCTTTTGCTACAGTCTTAATAAATGTTTCCATCGGTATCGTCTTTGAATCGTGACAGTACTGATCTTCTGAAAGTCGTAAAATTCTTATCACTTTCTCAAATTTATCAATTGTTTTTGTCAAAAATAGATGCAGCAAGTTTTCTGCCAATGCTGTTTTGGGAGTCGCCAGTTTGGAAAATGCTTGTGATGGAAGCAGCGCTCGTTATTAAGGTTAAGTGCATCCTTTCACTTTTCTCCTTCCTGGTCTGCTCCTCTGTGCTGTTATTGTAACGTTTCTTTTTGCCCTTGCTCTCAGTGATGTCTAACTTTACTGCCAGAGCTCCCAATCACTCCCACAACGTCTTTTTCTCTAAGGTGCCGGCCTCTACCCAGTATCCCAAGATTATTTTTTTTTCTTTATTCATTCACAGGCTATAACATAACTTCCTGGGGAAGTATTTGTTGACCATCTCTAGTTGCTCTCAAGAAGGGTGCAATGAGCTGCCTTCTTGAACTGCTGTAGTCCATTTGGTGCAGGTAGACCCACAATGCTGTTAGGGAGGGAGTTCAAGGATTTTGACACAATGACACTGAAGGAACGGTGATATGTTTCCTAGTCAGGATGGTGAGTGACAATGGAGGGGAACTTGCCGGTAGTGGTGTTCCCATGTTCCTACTATCTTTATCCTTCTATAGTCTTGGGTTTGGAAGGTGCTGTCTAAGAAGCCTTTGTGAATTTCTGCAGTGCATTTTTTTTTATTCATTAACGGGATGAGGACATCGCTGGCTAGGCAGCATTTATTGTCCATCCCTAATTACCCAGAGGACAGTTCAAAGTCAACCACGTTGCTGTGGGTCTGGAGTCACATGTAGGCCAGACCAGGTAAGGATGGCAGTTTCCTTCCTTAAAGGACATTAGTGAACCAGGTGGGTTTTTCTGACAATCGACAATGGATTCATGGTCATCATTAGATTGTTAATTCCAGCTATTTTATTGAATTCAAATTCCATCATCTGCCATGGTGGGGTTTGAACCCGGGTCCCCAGAATGTTATCTGGGTCTCTGGATTAACAGTCTAGTAATAATACCACTAGGCTATTGCCACTCCTCTATCTTGTAGATGGTGCACATTTCTGCAACTGAATGTCGGGGTGGAAGGAGTGAATGTTAAAGGTGATGGATGTGGCACCACTCAAGTGGGTCATTTTGTGCTGGAAGGATGTCAAGCTGCTTGAGTGTGGTTGGAGCTGCACCCATCTAGAAAAGTGAGTGGGTACTCTTTCACACTCCTGACTTGTTCCTTGTCGATGGTGGACAGGCTGCAGGGAGTGAGGAGGTGAGGTACTCACTACTGGATTCCTAGCCTCTGATCTGTTCTTGCATCTTTTTTTTGCATTTATACAACTAGTCCAGTTCAGTTAAAAGTCAATTATAACCAGCTCGATATTGATAGTGGGGGATTCAGCGTTGGTAATGCCATTGAAAGTCAAGGGGCAATGGATAGATTCTCTCTTGTTTGTGATGATCATTGTGTGGTACTTGTGTGGTGTGTTTATTATTTATGACTTGTTAAGTCAAGCATGGATATTGTCCGAGTTCTGCTGCGTTTGGATGTGGATTTCACTATCTGAGAAGCCATGAATGGTGCTGAAAATTGTGCAATCACAAGTGAACATCCACATTTTTGAACTTATCTTAGAGCTGTTGAAGATGGTTAGACCTAGGGCACTACCAGATGATATTTCCTAAAGCAGGGATCACTGACCTCTAACTATCACAATCACTTTGCTTTGTGCCAGGTATGACTCCCGCCATGTGGGAGTTTACCATGATTCCCATTGGCTTCAGCTTTGCTAGGACTGATTGATACCACACTTGGTCAAATGTGGTCTTGATGCCAACGACTGGCACTCTCATCTACCTCTGGAGTTCAGCTCTTTTGTTCCCATTTGAACCAAAACTGTATTGAGGTCAGGAGCTTAGTGACCCTGGAAGAACCCAAAATGAGTCCAAATATCTTTTTAAGTGTTGTAACTGTGCTGGCCTCTACCACTTCCTCTGGCAGTTCATTCCATATATGCACCACCCTCTGTGTGAAAATCTTACCTCTTAGATCCCTTTTAAATGTTTTCCCTCTCACCTTAAACACGGGCTCTCTAGTTTTGAACTCCCCTACCCTAGGGAAAAAGGCTTTTGCTATTCACCATGCTTATGCCTCTCATAATTTTATTAACCTCTATAAGGTTTAACCTCTATAACCTCAACCTCCTGTACTCCAGGGAAAAAAGTCCCAGCCTGTCCAGCCTCTCCTTATAACTCAAACCCTCCATTTTTGTACAGCCTCCTCCTCTAGTGAGTTCTTTGATTGTGCACCATCATTCACAGCTGAATGTGGCAGGACTGCAGAGCTTAGATCTGGTCCATTGGTTTTGAAATCACTTACATCTGTCACTTACTGCTTGCACTTATGTGGCACTTAAGAAGACCTGTGCTGTAACTTCACCAGGTTTATGCCTCACTTTTAGGTATTTTCAGGTGCTGCTGAATAGCCTCATACACTCTACATTGAACTAGGATAAATCCCCAGCTTGATGGTAATGGTTGTTGGGGGGAAATTCTGGAATATGAGTTTACAAATTGGAATTAAATACTATTCTGTTGCTGCTGGTGGCCTACAGGGCCTCATGGGTGCCCAGTCTTGAGTTGTTCTGATGAAGAGTCACCAAACTCAAAGCATTAATTCTGTTTTTTCCAGACCTGTTGAGGTTCTGCAGCAATGTCTGTTTTTGTTTGGGTTGCTAGATCTGTTCAAAGTTTGTCCTGTTGTGCACAGTGATAGTGCCACATGACATGGTTGAGTGAATCCTCAATGTGAAGACAGGACTTCATCTCTTTAAGGACTGTCCTCCTTACTGATACTGTGGCAGGCAGATTGGTAAAGATGATGTCCAAAATATGTATTTCCCTCTCATTGGTTCCTTCACCACCCCCTATAGGATGATTCTAGCAGCTATTTCCTTTAGGACTCAACCGGTTTGGGTCTGTCGTGGTGCTGCTGAGCTACTCCTGATGGCGGATATTTAACTCCCCATCCAGAATGCGTTCTCTGCTCGTAATACCCCTCAGTGCTTCTTTCAAATGATGTTTAACATAGAGAAGCACTGAATCATCAATTAGGCAGGGGCTTTAGTATGTGGCAATCAACAAGTGGTTTCCTTGTGCAAGTTTGACTTGATGCCATGAGAATTCCATAGTCAATGCAGAAGATTCCCAGAACAACTTCCTTCTGAATGTATACCACTATGTCATTAGCTTTGCTGGGTCTACTCTGCCAGTGAGACAGGACACGACCTGGGATGATGGTAGTATGTTTTCAGGCATTATGTGTACATTATGGTTGTGTTAGTAATGACACTGTCAAAGTTTTGTTTGACTAGTCTGTGAGACAGCTGTCAATTTGACTCTAGCTCTTGAATGGGTTAACATCCTGAATTCCCTCCCTGAGGGCATAATGGGTCTCCCCATAGCACATGAACTGCAGTATGTCAAGAAGGCAGCTCACTTCTCACGGGTAACTAGTGATGGGCAATAAATGCCGGCAAGTCAGTGATGCCCTTATACCAGAAGAGAATACTCTTTTTAAAAAAAGTTATCAAGGAGGTGTTTGCAAGTTAACAAGGTTATGTTTCCCTTTGTAGTT